GGGTGTCTGCATGTTGATCCAATTACATGCTGAATATTGCACTTTTACCATTGGTATAGTTGAGTTCGAAATAGCGGAGAGTAGTAGGTGAGAAGTAGGCAATTACAGCAGTACCACATCTCAATGGCCAATCCTACATCATATCTGAACACCACCAAATAGGAGAAGAGCGCAAGTGAGTAGGAAGGAACCGATTTACATGATGGCAATCGGCTCGTCAGGCCAACAGCTTCAGGCGAATCGCGTGTACGATTGCAGATTAGCAAACCAGAAACTACTTCGACAACTGCGTCAAATGAGGGCTCATTCAAAACGCCACCGCGGGTTGTGCAGAATGACGTGTGTCCAGGCGCACCACGAAAGGCCACACCCAGCAACTCAAATGCTACCAAGGTGGCGGCAGATGGCTTCAATTCTGCTTCGCAGAACATTACATTTGACGATGCTTTGGCAGTGGATGGTAAGTTTAAAATGTGAGCTGTATTAATTACTTCCTAGTAGGTCAGAAAGAGAGAACACCTGCAAATGGGTCGGTCATCGTTGGAATTCCCCCCTACGCGTCTGCGAGGCCAGCACTCCAAGCAAATGCACCAATTGTCATTGAAATGGCAAACATACACCAGGTGATGACGTCAATAACTGTGTCTGCGATGGATCTGTTGCGTCCCTGCTCCCGCAACTAATACGCGGCCGTCTTCTCATGCATTGTTCGCGATTGCATTGTTGGCTCGTCACTTCTGACGATCCTGTCACGTAACGACTATGAAATGTCCATGTATTGTGCTTGTATGCACGCTTTAAGTCTTCTAAATAAAATATTGCAGAAAATCGAGAGTGAAAGAGGAGCAGTGTTGTGTGGAAGGGAAATTTTGCTGTCTTCTTGACTGCGTGATGCCTGAATCGTGTTTTGATGCAACTATTGATTAGTCGAACCTACCATAAATAATTTTCTGGCAATAGGAAATGAAGTCCTTGTCGGATCTGTATCCCCACGAACATTGTGCCTTCGACAGAAAGTGGGTTGTTACCTGCACACTACTTGCTGTGTTTCAGCTTAGAGTGGTAGAATTTGCCACTTTCGCATCTCATCGGTGGTTGCATCGTGCTACGGTGTCGCGTCACCGTTCTTCACGCATCTCTGCGCCTCAAGGAGTAAACACATCAATCCACTACTGCGTTAATACGCAACAACCAATGACGCCAGCTAAGTTGACACAAAACACTAATCCTCCTACCTGTTGCCATGGTGACATGACAACATCGATGAATGAATGCTACGGCAAATATCACATCTCAATTGTAGTCGCATTGACACTAACTACTGTTTAAATCCTGCCTTTGCGTGAAAAGACTTTAAGAAGACCCTTGCGATCTTCATGTGATATTGTCAATCAAGGCAGCGAGGCCGTCACCTCAAGGCTAATCATGCCAATAATTATCAACCGAATCAATAGAGAATTGGCCATCCACAACATGCATATTAGCTGATCGCCAAACAGCGTCTCAGCTATGCCTCTGAACTCACGCGGGGTCATTAGTCGTCGTGAGAATTCCCGCCAAAATGCCTCAGCAACATCTTACTTTTCACTCTCCCTTAAAACCCATTTGGCAACTTAATTTCACAGCAACCGCATTAATGCCTCGTCTTCAGGCGTCAACCAGGGCATAGCAACTTATGCCCTGGTAGCAACACAACTTCGAACTCACGCGCTACTGTAACGAGTATCAAGACCCATCACTTTCACGCGTGATCACGCTTCACGTTCTGTCGATTCCATTAGTTACAAGACAAGAGCTATTGCATTTGTATTTGGTTGGAGTAAAGTTCTGCTTTTTTGGTGCTAATATCTTTGATTATAGCAATAATATTAGATTCATGGTGGGATGAGCCCGCTGGCAGCTTGTCGATTTCTCCAACTAGGAACACGCAAACACGCACGACACTCGAAATATCCCGTCCAATGCTGCCGCTACCGTTTATTCAATAGCATTGTGGTTACCTGCGCATATGCGGTGAACGTCTTGATAAGGTGGTCACGAGGTGTGTGGAATTCGCATTGGTTAAAAGGGATCGTGCCGGCATTTATTATACTAGAGGCATGCAACAACAATTGAGTCTCTTCAAGCAAGAAATGTTGTAGATCGTACACACCAACGAGATTATAAAATTGGTTTAGTGCCAACGAGAACTGCACTAGAGTGTGCAATCGGTCTGGTTCACTTGGCCTCAAAGGGTGCATTTGAGGTCGGTGAGGTATTCGTCTAATCCACTATGCCGACTGATCGATAATTTGCAACTTTAATGTAGAAGCTGTAAATAGACTGCAATGACTTCTCCAATGACTTCACCTCGCCTGCCGAATTCACGTCTATATCGAGACTGTCCAATGAAACCTGGCCTCGACGCTGATTGGCGGGGGCCTGCTGTGTGCGGTATCACGGTCACTTGGCCATTGGTTTGTTACAAGGGTGTCTGCATGTTGATCCAATTACATGCTGAATATTGCACTTTTACCATTGGTATAGTTGAGTTCGAAATAGCGGAGAAGCTA